TTAGCCACGTGATAGAACCAAAAGGTTTATGGTTTATATAAGAAATAGGTAGGTTGTTGCTTTTGGCAGGCCTAAATTGCGTAAAATTCCGAGCAATATAATGCGAATGTACGCAAATTGCAGATGTAAATAGATTCCGCCCCTTCCTTTGACGACACTTTATGCAGGAGCAGGAACGGTCTTAGGAACAAATGTAAGCAGCTCAGAGGAGCACTTTTAAAGTATATTCGCTAAGGATTTGCGCACAATTTTCGAAATATTTTGGCATTCTATTAGCCAGCGACTGGGAATGGATCCATGGGCGAGCGATTTCTGCCGAAACTCACGAAACGCATTTCAGCGCGGGGGGCGGTCGGGTTCGGGGGCCGTCTTCGAGTGAACTGTTGTTTAAAAATAACTCCTTGTTTTGTGTGGAATTCCCATGCCATGGAAATCACATGCACATCGGGGAAATGTAAAAATATTGATGTTTTCAGTTTCAGTGCTAATTTTAACTGAAATTCCCCTGGCCCCCGGTCTCCGGTCTCTCCGCTCCTGCGCATCCGTTGGTGCGAGAGAAATTAGCAAGAATAGTAAGGGATCATAAGTATATACATATGTATGTACATATGCATATGTATAAGTACATTGTATGTACATATGTACATGTTTCTCAATGGGGTACAGCATGGATTGAGTGGGCTGTGTGGGGTGTGTGCCCCTTGGCCTCGTGGTTATAAAAATAAGTGAACATTTATTTAAAAATCATCGCACTTACATTTCGAATGCAGCAAAAGGCAGCAGCAGCCCAACAGCCCAGCAACGGCTGCCCCCCGAAAACAGATGCTCAGAAATTTCCTTTCTTTTAGTCGAAGGAGATCGCCAGTGAAAGCAACAACTCAAAGCATACAGTGCACAAAAGATACAGGGAAAAAGCAGAATCAGAATCGGAGAAGCATATATCCGAAAAGGCGACCAAAATACTTGTACAATAACAAAAGCGAAAACCACAAACCCAAAAATAATACACTTTTAAAATATATTTCTCAGTGTGCGGCATGGACTGTCTGTGTATCCGTATCTCTGTTTATTTTCCCATCCCTGTGCGCCTGTATCTGTATGTTTTTCGATTTATTTTCGAGCGATCGGTCAGAATTAAGAATTAAGAGGTTTATTAGCGCATCGCATCGCAACGCATCAGTCGTCGGGCAATCACACGCGAAGCATCGCACGCCGTCGAGGAGTCCACGCGTTACGTTCTCCCATCACTAGGGCCATCTCTAAGTCTACCTATCGATGCTCTTATCAATGACAACTACTTAAACGCGTAATCGAAGTGTGTGTTTTGTGTGTGTGTGAGTGGGATTGAAATGCTAATTAGAATGCAAGAAAATAAAAACCAACTATGAGTTATATGCACCGGCAAATCTATATAAATTTAAGATTATTGTTTCTGTTTTGATTTTGGGAACACATGCATTTAAAATTGCTCCTTATGTGTGTTACGTTACGCTTCTTACACTCTTGTTGAATACATAATTGTTCGCTTAATATGATTCCCTTGTAATCTGATTAGCTTCCCTTGGCTTTGGGTTTCGTCTCCTCTTCTTTGTACGAAAACATTAAAAGGCCAGCTTCTCCGTGCCCCGACGCTCAAAGTGGAAAAAGTCGCAGGAAATCCTTTAAGCATACACAGGCCCAAGCGTCGCACTAGTCACATACACACACATACACACACACACACACACACAGATAGGCGCCACTCACTCGTTTCTATGAAAATGGCATTAAAGCGCTTTGGAGAGTACTTTAGGGGCGCACGCTTAACTCTCGAATACTCATCAAAAAGCGATTCAGAGAGTGGGAGATTTAGCGGCGGGGAATCCCCCCAGACAATGATTTCCTAGTAGGCCTTTCCTTTAGGAAAGGAGTTACCTCCAAATTTATATATCGCTCAAAACCAAAAGCAGATGCAAACAAACAATCAAAACAGAAACAGCAGGAGAAGATATCAGAACAGAGCAGATCTGAGCAGATACGAGCGAAACGGAACGGAACCGAACAAAGCAGAGGCACAAGAAACAAAAAGCGTTTTTTATAGAACATTTATTTATAATTATACATTCTCCTCCTCGTTTGTTGTATATGCGATTTTGTTCTTCAGCCTCTTCTGCCAGTAAAATTGAAGTGTAGGAAATGCTACAAACATATACACCATATACACATACATATGTGTGTATACACACGTTTGTGGTACACAATATTTTCATTCGCATTCAATCCTCAATTCAATTCAATCGGCACGCTTCTGCCACACAAAGGGTGGCATTCGGGAACCAATCAATCAGTCAATCAAATAGTGGAACAAATGATAGTGCTGTGCAAACAAAATACATCCCACTAAAATTACCCGAAATCTTTAAAGTGTAATGCAGAAAAGTGCAGATTTCTCCATCGGAAGTCATTCAAATTTCCCAAAATAAAGTGAAGAAAACATCTGTTTTCCGAGGTTTTTATCGGAAAAAAATAATAAATACAAAAAGTATCCAAAATGTTGCCAGCAACAGCTACCGTTAGCGACATGCTGCTAAGCGAACGGTGGCCGCCAGATGTCGCCATGTGCGGGTTGATCAGGCCAACAGACGGCGCTCTCACGATCGCGAGCTGCTTGCCTAAACAGCCCACAGAGGGAGCCACAAGATGAATGTAAGAAAAACAAATAAAATCAACAAAAGGAAACAACGATTTTCCCGCCTTCGCGTAAGAGACTTGGCATTGGAAAAGCTTATCACTTATCAGCTTATCACCTTTGGAGCCTAGACTTTTGTGCTTAGGGAAACAGGGAAAGCATTTGCCCTGGAGGTGGCTTAAGCATCGGAGAGGGTGCTGTGATGCGGTGGGGTGGACAGAGGAGAGAATATTGGGTGGGGGCTAGGGTATGGCAAAGCACTCGACCCATTTCCGTTTCCGTTGGGGAAATTTAATATGCCGTCTGGCTCTAGCTCCCGCTCTGCCTCTGGTTCTGCCCGTGGCTCTGCTCCTGGTTCTGCTTCTGGCACTAACTTCGTCAGCCACTCGCACCCGAATGAGATTCCACTCCGTTCTATGGGCCTTCTATAAGCTAAAAATATTTTACGTGTCCCCTTTTATTCTGTTGGTTGTTTTGTGCAACAAATTGAATGCATTAACGTCTAATTTTTTTGTTTTGCTTGTTCTCTGCTTTCCTTTAATTCGGGTATGCCTCAAATTTCGAATCAGCATAGATCACGATTTATGGGAAAATCATGACATTCAAAAGAAAAGTGGCCATAGGAAAGGGGAACTACAATTTTCCAGAAACTCGAAGATTTGTGGAACATTTAAATCATTAATTGATTTATTATCTAATTTTCATCTAGAGTGTCCAAAGATGCGGTTTTCCCACAACCAAAAACTTCTCCTATATTCATTTTTGTTTTGTTTTTCAATTGCAACAAAATGTTGTTTATTTACCCAAAAATTGTAGTTGTAGACTTTGGCCAAAAGCCAACAATAGCCAATGCTGAACAGGGAAAAAGCTGAAAACTGCACGAAAAATCAACAAAAAATAATAATAATAACAGGAATACGAGCCCCAATTACGATTATGTTTTTGATAATATTTACGGGAATAATTAAGATGGAAATTTCGACACACAAAAACAAAAAAGCACAAAAAATACAGCGAGAATGAATAAGTACATTCATTTATGAGGCGCATGGACGAGTGGGCGGTTGAGATATGTACATATTTATGTATGTATGTATGAATAGGGAATGTTTGTCATCAATAGAGAGAGGAGGGACACGTAGAGGAAGACAGCAGCAGTCATGGAGGTGGGTACCGAAAGAGTGAGAGGAAGAATGAGGAACGAGATTTTGTTGGGGGCGAGGGAAATTTATGAGAGACAACTGCCAGAGGCTTTTCTTGTGGTGCATTCAGCATTGAAGAATCGCCTATGCCCTGCATAGGCATTTCTCATTTATGAAAAAAGAAAATATACGAATATTTACACTTTCTGGTAGTACAATTTGCAGTGGTTTCCACTTAACATGAATGCAGGTTTCCTATAAGGCACATTCCACATACAATAAATCTGAAAATGTGTGGGGAAGATCTCTGCCAAAGTTACCACATTTTTGTAGAGTCGCGTGTTGGTTTGTCAGGACTAATGCAGGAGGTTGGAGGTGGAGAAGAGGCGAATGGTCTACGCTCTAGGGGCACACACATGCTTTCCTCTTGCCTGCATAAACAAGAGCCAGCAGTAGCAGCCAGCAGCAGCAGCCAGCAGCATCCAGCCAGCCATTCATTCCACTTGGAGGCGAGGCAAATGGCACTGCCATGGCAACAACACAACAAAAGGCAGCAGCACCACAGGCAACACGCAGAGAGACACTTGCATACATATGCAAAAAGCACACGCAGAGACACACACACACACACACACACACACACGCACACACAGAATGTGCGAGATACAGGAAAGCTGATCAAGTGTATGGGTAGGGTGGAGTGGAGTGGGGGCAGGGTAAGTAGGAGGATGGTTTGGATGCGGCTGTTGCTTGTTGTTCGTTGAAGCATTTCATTAGCCACCCACGCATTCCTACACTCAAACACACACATAGACAGGCAGACAGATAGAGAGAGAGAGAGAGAGAGAGAGATGCAAACACAGCCATACATAGGTACACACACACACACAGTGTTTGTGTGGGTGGTTTCGCTTTTCTTTTTTTTAAGCACAGCACGCGCGCATTTCCCCATACAACGTCAGCAAATGAGGAATCCTGCAAGTGACTGTCGTCCATCCCCCCTGCCCACACTTTCCCGATGACTTGTTGCATTCAGTCTCTCGGCGAAGGCGTCGTCTCGATGCAGCGGGCCATGCGACATGTGTCACAGATATACCCACAGATATACAGATACGCAAATGATTGTGCAATGATTGAAATCCATCCCCAACTTCCCAACTCATGCAGTCTTCCACTCCATTTACTTACAGCTATAGAATAGGCACGGGACCTCAGGTGGAAGCGACAGAGGAGCCACAGACACGTCAATTGCCATAATGTGCGTACAATAAAACGGATTGGAACGCACCGAGCTGCCGATAAATACTGCAGACTTATCTCTGGTATTCCCTGGATTCTCTTATGTATAATAATCTGCAATCGAAAGTGGTGGAAAACTGCAGGAACAGTTGACTACTTCCCTGCACATGCTGCACATCCTTGAATCAAGGTGAGTAAGCTATAAAACTGGACATTTGATGTGCTGATGATTATGTGATTACAATGAAAGGGATGATAAGGGATAAGCATTGTGAGGAAGTTATGCTGGTTTTCTTTATTTTGTTTTTAGTTTAGATGTCTCTCAATTTGTTTATATCTCCCATTTCCACCCTTTAATCTTTCGAATTGAAATTAAACTAATTTCATACTCTGGCGCAGAGAGGCGAGACAAAAATGCCAGCCATAAAACAAGATGAAAACCAAAACAAAACAACAAGGAAAAGACATAGAAAATGTTGCAGAACACTAGAAAATTGTATCTAGCTTTTTTGTTTTTGTTGTTGTTTAATTTGTTGCTGTTGCTGCGGTAGCTGTACCTCATGGATGGAGTGGGGGCATGGTTGATGGTTGGATGGTTGGATAGTTGGATGGGGCACTCTGATATTTTCACGCTTAATCACTAACAGTCCCTCTGTGTGTGTGTGTGTGTGTGTCGTCTGTGGCATGGCGACAAAAAGACATGAATACAAAAAAAAGCCAAAACATTTTGGCCCAAAGCCAAAAATACTTAAAGCCGCAAATGAAATGACAGAGAACGGACGGACCAAGACGAAGACAGAGCCAACAAAAAATGAGCAGGAAAAAAAACCCCTGCTGCAGAAATGTCAAAGGGAGAAAACAGCACCGCAGAACCGCAGAGAGAGAGAGAGAGAGAGAGAGAGAGTGTGTGGTGCCAGAGTGGTAGGAAGAGGCGGAGAACTTTAATTTTTCCTTTATTGCTGCTGTCGAGGGCAATAATAGAGTGAAAACATCATGGAAATTCTGAGGGAAAGACAATGCAGAGAGTCAGGTGAAAAAGCCCTAGGTCCAAGGAGGTGGTAGGTGGTATTTAGATGAATTCTATGGTGGCTAACATTCCAGAACATGCAACGGTGAAGAAGTTTCAAGGAATTATCTCTCCTCCTCCTCCCTCGCATTTTGCTGGGCTGCAACTGATATTTCCCTTATTACAAAGATAGTGCAATTAATGAAACAAGGAATCAATTTCTGCTGGCGGTCTATGCAATGCTTAGAATGCTCTTGGTCAGTGCACCCAGCTCCCCCCCCCCAACACAGCCGCTGGGCATGTGCTACACGTCTTCCCCCTGCTCAGCCTTTGGTGGTTGTCATGGGGAAAATTCCTTGGCGCAAAATGTTTTACGTTAATTGAAAGCCAATGCGAGAACAAAATGTTATCCGTCGAGGGATGCTTATGTGTGCAAGAAGTGTAGATACAAAGATACATTTACAAATGTACATAAGAATATGTAGTTACATACATATGTACATAACATGTACATACATATGTAGAGCATAGGCAGCTGTTGTTGTAGGTCTTGTTCGATCTGGTATTCCGTGCATCCGATGCCAAAATATAACTTGATATGGCACTTATCAAAGGGTTTCAAATTAACGATAAGAAAGCTCAAAATTCACATGGGGTTTCCTTTAAAATTTGTTGAATGCAGTTCTAATGGGAAAGATTCCATTTTCCAACCGGAAAGATCAGTTCTCCAAGAGAGTTGAAGATCCCTGATTGATTTCTGTAACTGATCGTATCCTATCTTAGTGTGATTCGCACCCATCTCTTTTCTTGTATGATCTTCATGTACGATCTATGTTCTGAAGATATTTCGCATTTCATTCTCATGCATATACCCAGCCAATATCGCTTTTGAAAATATCGCATAACCCCCACAGATCATAGTTCGATCATGTATACCGATTTCCATGTGCTGTACATACACACACGCACAACAAATAACGAAAGAGAGAAAGATACATGCAATATATGTACTTTGTTTATATGAAATGTCAGTGTAACAAACACATCCTCTTGCTCTATCGAAACTCTGCCTGTCTATCTCTGTCTTTGTCTCTGTCTCTCTCCTTCTATGCCTCCTGTCGCTGGGGATTGTATCTGTGTTTTGTTGGAATCGGTCCATATGTGTATCTGTGTCTGTTGTATCTGTATCTGCAGCTGCGCAATTGGCGACGACAGACATCAGACGCTGACATGGACAGCAGCAACTGGTAGAGCGATTCGAGCGAGCGGCCACAGGTCGTGCACGGGGCAGACGAGCACTGGGAATAGAGATGGGCGGGGGGCATGCATGCCGCATGTGTCACTTTCCCGTTACCGGGTATTCTGCCCATATTCCTCTACTTTGGGCAGGCGCTTTCGTAACGCATTTTGGCAGCACCTGTCCCTGTAGTACCTCTCCTTCCCCTCCTTCTTCATTCACGTTTTTAGGCCCTCTTTTTCCTCATTCTCACCCCTTCTAATCTTTCCCCTCAGCCCGCACTTTTCAGCCTCTTTGATGATTGCAAAATATTGTGTAGAAAGATTGAAATATTCCGAAGAGAGAACACTTTTCGTAGAAAGCTGAAAACTGAAATTTAATCAGCGAACCAATACACCGACAAAACACAGTTTCCCCTCCTGCTGAGAGAGAGAGAGATCGTCAGAGAAGAGCAGAGGGGGAAAGGTAGAGGAGGGACCAAAGCAGCGCCGCACGTAACGTGAGCACAAAAACAACAGCCAAGAAGCGGGGATAATGGGAGGGAGAGCAAGAGAGATGGCTAAGAAGAGGGTAAATATTGGTAGTGGGGGGTGTGGCGGGGACAGTGGAGAGGTAGTAGTGGCAGAGGCAGCAGCAGACGATGCTCTGGCGATCGAGGCGAGCACATTGTCTATATTTAGACCGAAAATGCAAATGGCGTATGGCACACTCGCGTACGTACACACACACACACACACACACACACACACACACGAGATCGCTGGCAAAGGCAGAGAGAGGGATGTATGGATATATAGAGAGCGAGCGAAACAGAAGTACAGCCAGCAGAGAGGTGAAAAAGCGCACCCTGAGGTGAGTTTTCCCCCCCGATGTGTTGGTATTTTTCGCGCATGCGCAGAAAGAGGAAACGATCGCCAACGGACGCCATTTTGTGTAGGGGGGAATCGACAATGCGATGCCGTCACGAGAAAACAGGAAAATACAAAAAAAAACTGAACACAGATCGAGGAAAAAAGAAAGTTGAACAATTTTATAGATAGCATTTTTTAAACTAATTTTAAAATTTTTGTTTTGGTTTTTGTTTTAAAATTAAACGTTTGTGAATGAACTGAACGAACACCTGAAGTCACCAGACAACCACCCCCCTTCGGAAATCTATTTTGAAATATTATCATCAATTTTCTGCAAGTAAACACAAAAATCGATTCATGCTGAAAAATACGAGTAATTTTATTGGCCCCGCAATTTATTTTTACAGCCAGCAAAGCAAAGATAGATCCTACATACATATGCGGCGTGGCGTGGCACGTGCCGCAGCTTAAATCGGACAGAAGAATCATAGATATAGCCAAGCAGTCACATCGAGAGAAAGAGATTTAGATATAGTTTTCCATAGTTTTCTTGCTGTCCGTCTGTTTGTCTGTCTTTTGTGTTGATTCCCATGTTTATACAGATTTCATGTTTGCTTTCGTTACTGGGTGGGGAGTAATTGCAGAGGGATGGAGGCTAGTGCATTCCCCAATCTGCTGATTGATCTGGTGGGTGGTCCATGGACAAAAGAAGGCCCGTCCAGATTGGTTGCATATTAATTTGGGCTAACTTTCGGGATGTATTCCACAGGGGATCTCTTTTAGACATTAGACACTAATCAACGATAATTAATACTCTCAGGCCCCAAATAATCGATTGTGTCGAAGATGTGTCTCCCTCTAGATATCTTTCAACTATATTTAGGATTCCCATCCTTCCTACCTTTGGCGTCGCTGCAGAGTGTAACCCCAAACCGAAAACATGAATGACAAAAGGAATTATTGAAAAATTATGATTTACGGAAGGGGCTGTCGCTGCCAAAGCCGTGACGAGGAACAACAAATGGTGGGAGGAAGGCAGCGATGGGAGGGTGTGTAGCCATAGCCAAAGGATGGGCTCTGCCTCTCCTTCTGCTTTACCCTAAGTGCATTCCCTCTACTCCACACCAGTTCCCTCTGTTGACTTTGTACCTTCAGCCGCACGATCAGGCCCCAAACTGCAAATGCCCCATAGAGCACGCGTTGTGTCTGTGTCCGCTGAAAGATCTCTTTCCCTGTGTGTGTGTGTGTGTGTTGCCACGGATTACAAGGAGATGGAAGATGTCTGTGCCTCTGAGAGATCTCTGCGGACCGTGCCTTGCCGGGCCGGGCCCCTTCTCTGCTTTCAGTTTTACTAATTGCTTCCGTTTTGGATGCTGCTACGGTTTTCAGGGGTTCTAGAGATTCATTTTAATTGCATTTCTTTTAACGGTAACATCAGTGGAAGAAGTGGCGTGCACTCGTACCCCACCCCATCCTACAAGCCCAAGCCCTGTCACCCTCTGCCTCGTTCCCTTTTACTTCTCTGTTTGGCTGCTGCTTGGCTGCCTGTCAGTCTGGGCGTCGGTCTGACGATGGCCCCTTCCACTGCCCTCTCCTGCTGCTGCTGCTGCTGCTGCTGCTCCACCATTCCTGCCATGTCAATAACATTTGCGTACACGGGAAATATCTTTCTTGGGTTTTCTTCGGTATCCAGGGGTGTGGCAAAAAGGGGATCGTCAACCATAGAAATGTATGAATCAGAATTAAATTATTCCATTCCTGAAGCTGATGCTTCCCCTTTGTATGCCAACGCCACCGCCACAGCCTCTGGCTTTTGCATTTATTGTTGAAAAAACAACAGAAAAATCAAAGGAAACATTGCACAAACATACAGATATGCATACATATGTACACACGCACACACACACACACCCATATGTGCATATGTACATAGATACATAATACTCAGAGAAGATCTGTGCCTTATGGCAGTCTGCTGCTGCTGCTGCTGCTGCTGCTGTTGGTTCTTGAGGTGAGAAAGACAGCAAATGATATGTGGATGCAGAGGAGCATCTCTGTCACACACACACAAAGATACCAACACTAAACGATGCAGATACAAAGCAATACAGAGATAGAGATACATTTGAGGTGATGCTCAAGTGAAGCAACCATTACATTGGCCATAGAATCCACACTCGAAACTCGAATGTTTCTGACTTTGCCACTGGTCTGTGAGCTCCTGCTGCCACACAAGCAGGAAGCTGCCTCGAAATCCAGAGGATGCAACCACTTGAGACCGAGACGCAGCTCCGGAGTCCAGTTCGGGAGCGGGAGCGGGAGCGGGAAATGTGCCTCATTGAGTTAGAGCAACCGATTGAGAGACATCCGAGTGGCAGGAACAAGAAGCCACAAACCATAAAAAGGAATAAGAAAAAAGGAATTTATAACAGCTTATCGAAATACATGCAAAGTGGGACGAAAGGAAAGGGAAAAGGATACTCTATCCATATTCCATCTATCTACCTTGTGTCCATTTATCTTCCAGCAGTTGGAAAATGTTGGGCCAAAGTTCAAGTGCAAGAAACACTTAGTTTATTTAATTGAATTGTTTATAGTTTTTGAAGAGTTCAAAGACCCGAAAACGTAAACCTTCTGCTAAGTTCCATTGTCGTTCGTTAGGATCGAACTGAAACTTCTGATGAATAAAACTAAGTATAGATTTCCGCGGATAAATTATTGCGTTTCTAGACATCGTTGTCAGCTTTGGCTTCTTCACTCTGCAGTGTGGACAATAATTCAGAGCCCGTTTAGAAGCCAAGATGATGATGATGTTGTGGCTGCCCCGGCTCGACTGTCGCTTTGCATCAGCTTACAAGATTTATGGTATCCTTTCAACTTTAAACTCGCTTTGAGCACTTGTCTCCAGCACAGCTCCGTCGCTCTCTGTCTCTCTGTGTGTCTGCTTCCAAGTTGGGGGCATGCCACGCACACATGCCGCATATGTTGAAAGAACAGTAGCAGAAGAGTTGTAGTCCGTCCCGGCTTCAGGGGGGCGCAAAGCGTTGCAGGAGGTTAACGCGTGTTAAAACGCGTGTGCACTGAACTGCGCGCGTCATAAATCGCCTCCAGCGATATTCAAGCGTTTTCTTGCTTAAATTCTTCTTTGCTTTCTTGCTTAAATGACTACATTTTAATTTGGCTTTTTCCGCTTTTCTCTATTTCTTTGCAGTGGAAATATATTTGTACCTGTTGTTGGTCGTCGCCTGCCGCCAAAGGCAAGAGGCAGTTACTTCTTCCGCTAAGGTGAGTCCCGGTCCCGGCCCCGGCCGTCCCCCCAGAATTATCCTACCTTCCAGCACGTGCCCCGCTTTGCGAAGCTTGCCACAAACTGTGGCAGAGTGCCACTGGAGTGTGTGTGCGTGTGTGTGCACAAGGCAAATATTTACACTCAATGGAACATAATAAAGACATTAAGGGAAATATTGTGTTCTATATGTACTATGTATGTGGGGCAATAACTCAAGTTCTTCGGGGGGGNGGGGGGGGGGGGGGGGGGGGGGGGGAAGAAATTATATAAAAACTTATCCATCCATCCACTCTCCCCCTCCCTATTGGCAGTGGGTGTCTCTGCGGATACTCTGTGGGCGGGACACTTTTCTTTATTGCTCTGCGAGTTTCCGTCAATTTCCGTGTATCTTTTTGCCTCTGTCGTTTGTCTCTGACTCTGTTCTGGATGCCTGTCTCCGTCCTGGTTCCGGGTTTCCCCTAACAACCAAAGGTGAATCGGAATATTCAACAAGTTTTAAGCTTGCACTTGCAACTTTCTCCCAACGAAAAGTTGTGTAGTTATTTCTTTCGAACAATAAGGAAATATGAAATGCTGCTAATTGGCTTGCAAAGCCCCTTCAGAGTCGACTTTGTAAAACGATTTCCAAGGAATGAATGCATTTATAATGTTTCAGGCAGAAAAACATTATTCTAGGTAAAGGTCTGAAGGAATTTCCAAACAGCAAAGGCTTTCATTTGATTCCGTTGATGATTTTATAATACTTTTTTGTATAGCATACTTTGGTGATGCACATGCTGAGGCTTGCCAGCTGCAAGCTAAGCTTTGAGGTATTTATTCCATGTAAAAATATGATTCTATATTTGTTGACATATTTGATTGATAGGAAATGATTACCTCAACCAATGTCTTTTATGTGACATCATTTGAATGTGATTCTTGTGGGCGTACATAAAATCCCGAATTCATAAATTTAAATAAAGCTCACCTGAACATCACATTCATCTATTGTCCTTGGCCCGAAGAAGTGCATTAAATATGTGCAGCTCTTAAAAGAGCATTTAAAAGGAAAACTGTGTGTGTGAAAAGTGATAAATGGTTGACAGTTTCCAGCTAAGTTTTAGTTGCATGCGGCAACTACAATGAGTGTGCCACGTGGATTATTTATAGGGGAATCAATTAAAAAGTTAGGCAACTGTCAGACGCAATTAGAGAGACACGAGAGAGATTTTAACCAGAGAATTGTAAGGCAGCTATAGAGAAAGGCTTTCTCTCAGGGCCATGCCATGCCATACCCAGATCTCGCTCCTCCCTCGAGTCCCCGGCTCTGCTGTCTCTTTCTCTGTTTGGGGAACTTATCATTCATGCAAACAGTGAAATGCTTTCACAGCAATGCCCCATGCCCCTGCCCATGCCTGCTACCTTCAGTGGCACACGTGTTAAGGTGGAATTTATTCAGGATGACAGCCAGACGAGAGACTCCTGGAGCCATCAGGCTTTGACTTTTCTCTGAGACCGTGGGCAAAATTGATTAGATTATTCATCGGAGAGGGATGGCAGGCAGAGGCAGAGTGGTTAAGGCATTATTTTTTACCCTCCGCTGCGAGTGTCCTTAAGCCGGCATTTAATCACATTTAAATTGCACTCCAATGCTTGGCCCAAAATTGATTCGAGGTTTTTCTTCCTTTTTTTATTGTTATAAAATGAAATGAATTGTGTGCGGCGAGAGGTGGCACCTAAAGCCCTGTTTAAGCCAAGCAATTGAAATGTAATTAGGCAATGCTAATGCCACTCTTTAAATACAGATACTCTCGCTCTCCTGAGACCCATAATTGCTTGAGCTGTTTCTTTTCAGGATATTTGCATAATTGATGTTCCGCCGCAAAGACATTTTTCAATTTCAAATTTCGAAGCTCATTCCCACTCCTCCCGCCATGCAATTAAAAATATGTTTTACTTTGTGTGTTCCCTGTAGTTCCGTCAGGGAGCGGGGTACACAAGATACAAGATACAAGATGTGATACAACTAAAAGATACTTTCCGCCGTTTGTTTTGTTTGTGGGGGGAATGAATGAAATTTATGAATATTACCTACGCAGCGCAGCGTTTACAACAGCAAGAGCAGACTATAGACCATGGGGATATCCTTTAATTCGAAAGCAATTTATTGCCTTCAAATACAACATACCCCTTGGAAACACTGCCATGCAATGGGTAATGGGTTTATGGTGCACGAAAAACACAGCAACGTGAAGTGCACAGTGAAGTTTCCACGTGGTCCATGGATCGGTTCGGAGTTGGTTTCTGGCTTGGCTTGGGGTGAAGATCTTTAATGGAAACCCCTGCAACGGCAGCGGCAGCGGCAGTTAAGTCAGACTCAAAAACACATTGAGGCTGTGGCTGTGGCTGTGGCTGCTGCTGCTGGTTCTGCTGCCGCATGTTGCACATGTGTGTCCACATGCAGCGTGAGGCAGGCAGGGACATGGGCACATGGGCGAATCGCTGAGCGGCGTTTATTGAATTAAGACTGTCGACGACTGTTTGCAGTTGGCAGTTGTCGCACCCTTCGCTTGCAACAGCCGCCACCAGGGACAGCCTCTGGAGAGGCCAGAGGCGTTAAAAGTCACAAGGACATCGACTGAGCCACGAATGTGCATTGCATGTGCCAATGTGCCACATGCTGAACGAAACGAGACGAAACGAAACGAAACGAAAAGAAGAAGCTGTGCATCTCATCGCATCCGTCTGCCCTGCCACCCGGCCCTTGCAACATTGTGTGGCGCCGCTGAGAGAGCGCAAAAAGGGCGATCTCTCGAGAATCATAAAACGGGTAACATGGTCCCGCTGCACTTGGGATCGGTTATGCGTGATTTTTACAGAAAACCATTCCAGGCAGGGAGGGCGTGGAGGTGCAGCAGCATCTGGCATTTGCATATTGCTGTAAAAAGTCACGTTAAAGATTTGCCAACCATTTAACGTTCAGAAGCAGTACTTAGCAGCAGCAACCGAAGCTTTATTGAACAACACTCCATTCCCCATTGTTCTGCGTCCCCTCTAGACGATTCATTTGCTGGGCCAGAGACAGTGCGTACCAGAGGAGTATTTCAGAGGCCTTTCAATTCCAAAAGATAAAGCAATAAGCATCGATTTTTCTTCTGTATGTGATACAATCTTAATGGATAAGTTTAGCCCACTTGTCTGAATATTCTATAGGATCTTTTCTTTGGTATTCCCATGTACAACTTTCCATCGAATGTTAAGCAAAACAATCGTCTTATTTATGATTCCAATAACAAGTTTGTGGGGTGCTGTTATGCCTTTTGTCCTCACATTAGAATGGAGAGCATTCCATTTCGAAACATAACTAATATTCCGTTTAGCGGGATAATCGACAAATGGTGAGGAGAAGGGAGTCAGTCCCCTGTAATGGAGGGAATGGAGTGTTATGCAATGGAATGGGATGGAATGGAATCGCATTTACAAATTGAATTCAATTTGCCAGCACAGTTCTCTCGCTGACTCTCTCTCTCTCTCTCTCTTTCTGTCTGCTGTGTGAATAGACCATCATCAATCGAAGCAGAAACAATGAATGGGAATACCATACACGATTATACTTCAAAAGGACTACCCACGTAGTCGCCCAACCACCCAACCAACAACTTTCCTACTCCATCCTCCTGTACTCGCTTTCCTTTTTCCTTCTTTCACTTTCCGTTTTGTTGTGCTCCTCTTTGGCTGCTTTGAATGCTTTTTTATGCTACTGCCAACCACAGGTCACAGGTCAACAAAGTTTTTATTAAGCCTCCTCAGGAAACAGCAACTAATAGTGCGGCAAGCAGGCAGCAGGATAACAGAGGAGCAGGAAGAGCATGGCCTGCGTTTGTGCTTAAATTGGGGTGGCTCTTGCGGCGAGTTGCTTGTGTGCGTGGGGGGCTAAGAGGATCCCCGAAACAAGGACAATGTGTTGTCGCACGAGAACCCACTAAATGATGAGGGTAGAGGCAGTGTGGGTGGGGAGGACGGAAAGCAAACCCAAGCAGCGCATTAGTTTCGGTGGGAGGGAGGTTCTTTCGATAATTAACATTCATGAGTCGGCGACAAAGTGAAACAAGAAGCTTTTTTTTCGAACCAAACAGAAGCATGAACCATTTTGATACCCTCTTCTCTCGGCTAGGATTTGCCAACATAAAAGTCGTATGCTTCTCGCTCTCTCAGTCTCTACAAGGGGTATTCCCAAGTGGAAGACGAACACATAAAATCGAAGTAGCACCGAAAAGGAATCCGGGGAAAAAGCAAAAGAAAAATTTGTAACTGTTGCTGTGTTGCCGCCTCACGGAAAACGGCTGATTGATCAAATATATATACATACGTGCCTGCGTGTGTGCCTCTGTGTGGGTGTCGAAGCGTCTGGGACCTCGTCGGGGGCACAAACAAAAACCATATGTTTCATGTTTGACTCCCGCAAGCACGCACTTCCCTTCTCCCCCTCTCCCACACACACGCCGAAAGTCACTCAACTTTGCTTTCGTTTCGAGCATAAACTCAAACTGCAGCGCCTGCGCGAGCATTTATTCTCTCCCAGTCTCTTACTCACTCACTCTCTCTCGCTCTCTGTGTGTGTGTGAGATATTTTGTTACACAAAAAAGAAATGAAATAAAAATCGAATGGAATCTGCAGTAGAAGCAACACACAAATACCATCAGACATACCGTTAGAATCAGGCACACTCGGGCCGAGAGATGTGTGTGTGTGTGTGTGTGTGTTTCGTCTCACTCTTTCTTGCTCGCACTCTCACTCTCTCGCCATCTCTCTCTCTGTAGCCGCATCGGTGTGTGCTCTGCTTCAGTATTGGGTCTTTGCTGTGTGGTATTCGCGCGGCCGCCTCGCATTACGACGTCAACGACGTCAGTACGTTTGTACGCGTCCGCAGCGCCGCTTCTTCAGTTTTTTTCGGGGATCTGCCGTGCGCGCTTCTTCATTGGACTCAGATTCAGATTCAGATTCAGATTCAGACTG